CAAATAAGTCACCAGGCTCCGATGGTTACACCGCGGAGTGGTATCGGGAATTCAAACAGGACTTGATCCCTACACTACTTACTACTTTTAACTGTGTGTTAAAAACAGCGCAAATTCCACCGAGTTGGAAGGAGGCAATTATTTCGGCTATTCCGAAAGAAGGGAAAGACAAAATGGAGTGTGGCTCATATAGACCTATTTCTGTCCTTAACATAGATTATAGATTGTTTACTTCGATAATGGCCAGGAGAATGGAAGAATTTTTACCTGACTTAATTAGCAATGATCAAACGGGGTTTATAAGACGACGACAGACCCAGGATAATATACGTAGAACTCTTCATGTAATACATCAGATACAGACATCTAAGAGTACAGCCATGCTTATGAGTATTGATGCAGAAAAAGCCTTTGATTCTGTAAATTGGGACTTTCTATATAAAGTCCTGGATAAATTCGGCTTACATAAGGGAATTGTTGATACGGTGAGGGCACTATACACTAACCCCACCGCAAGAATTAAAGTTAATGGTTCTCTCTCAAATAGCTTCGTTCTGCAGAGAGGAAATAAACAAGGCTGTGCTTGGTCCCCGCTCCTGTTTGCATTGTACTTAGAACCCTTGGCACAATCAATTAGACAAAATAAAGACATTAAGGGGATCACTATTGCAGGACAGGAACACAAGCTCGCTTGTTATGCGGATGACATATTGATCTATTTAGATCAGCCCACTAACTCCTTGCCTTCGCTGATGAATCTGTGTCAAAAATTTGGGAAACTCTCTGGATATAAAATTAATATGTCTAAAACTCAAATTCTCAGCTATAACTACAACCCCCCAGCTCACATGGTTGTTCAATATCCAATGAATTGGCAAGCACAATCATTGAAATATCTAGGAGTTGTTATTCCCAAGGATTTAACTAAACTATCTGAGGAGAATTTTGGTTCTCTACAAAGGAGAATAGTGGGTGATATTAGGCGATGGAACATGATCCCCTTTCTTTCTTTACACTCACGAGTTGAATCTATTAAAATGAACATCTTGCCAAGAATATTATATTTATTCCAAACACTACCAATATCCATTGATCCAAGTCGTTTCAATGAATGGGATAAAATAATATCGCGGTTTATATGGGGGGGGAAGCGGCCGAGGGTTTGTTTTAAAACTTTACAATTACATAAGAAGGTGGGAGGATGGGGGTTGCCATCACTAAAAAATTATTATCGGGCTGCTCAGTTGAAAACGGTGGTTAATTGGTGTGATACAAGCTACCAAGCACACTGGAAGACTATAGAGGAGAATATGTTTTCCTCCCCAATACAAGCTGTCCTGATGGACTCGAATATTCGAAAATATATTGACAAGATTCATAACCCCTGGGTGTCGTGCACACTTAATATATGGAGAAAGTCGTGAAAGAATTCAAACTTGAACAGGATTTGGCTTTATTCAAATGGTATGCATATGATTCTGACTTTGCCCCGAATAAATTGGACTCACGTTTTAAAAGCTGGCCTGCTAAAGGGTTATCTACATATGATAGTTTGATAAAGGATGGGAACCTTATTAGTTTTGACACGCTGAAACAGAGACACAATCTAGAAAAACAGGATTTTTTTCGATACTTGCAAATAAGACACTATATAAAGACAACAATCGGTCAGATGTCAAATACTAATGTGGAATTGGTAACTTTATTTAGACAGGCGTACAGTGGGGATGTTGACACAAGACTCATTTTTTTTTGGTACAATTTTTTTATGAATAAGCTTCCACACTCAACTGATTATGTGAAGATGTTATGGGAAAAGGAGGGAGGGATGTGTATTTCTAGGGAAGAATGGACTCAGATGTGGGAATGGCAATGGAGGAGTACTTCCTCCAAAAGCTGGAGGGAGTTCGGATGGAAAACTCTGATAAGGTTCTTTATCACTCCATGTCAAAAGGCTCACTATGATGGGAATCCTCCCGTGTGCTGGCGAAACTGTGGATACCAAGGAGCCCATCACACCCATATTATGTGGGACTGTCCTGTGCTACGGACTTACTGGAAAGACATTCATGGTATATTACAAGGCATTTTTAACTGTACATTCCCTCAGGATATGAAGACAATTTTTTTTGGCTGTATACCGCAGAACTGGTCCAAAAATGACATATGTCTGTTAAGAGCTTTATTGGTTGCAAGTAAGAAATGTATAACAAAGAAATGGTCCTCGCAAGACATACCGACTTTGTCATTATGGTGGGAAATTACGTTAGAGATATATAGGATGGAGGAAGTAACAGCTCATGTTAATGACAGGATGGCCTGGTTCCATCTGTGCTGGGATAAGTGGGTCCAATACGTTAATACCTATAAACCGAATTTTCTCTTTAAAGCTTGAAACCACCAATTTAGTTAATTGTTTACTCCCGACAGAGCTTTCTCCTTTTATTTTATATATATATAATTTTTTTTCCTTTTTTTTTTCTTTCTCTTTCTTTCTATCTGTCTTTCTTCTCGTTTTGTTTCGTTTTTCTCTTGTAAACTGTGTTAATTAATGCCTGTAATCATCTTTATGAGGTAATATTGTAGAAATAAAGAATATAAAAAATATATATATATATATATATATATATATATATTAGGGGTGCAACGATACACAAAATTCACGGTTCGGTTCGGTTCGATACTTTGGTGTCACGGTTCGATATTTTTTCGATACAAAAAAATGTTCATGCCTTTTTAATTTGTCATTTATTAAAATTATAAATATATATTTTAACTCAAAAGTACAGTTTTTAAATTTAACCCTAACCCTTGTGCGTGTTGTTTTTTAGCTCGTCATATTGCAGCCACAGAAATTCTTTTGTCCATGAAACCATAAAGCTGCACTTTCTTTTTGCCTTATAGTCTGATTTGTCATAACTTCTCCGTTTTGTGGTAAGCTTTTCTTTGGCTGTCACTTCTTCACCCTGACCTGTCTTATTTGGCTCAGCAGAACTAAAATATATATCTGTCTGTGAAGGTTCTCAGTCATCCAGGTCATCGTAGTGAAATATATATCCTGCCGCACTCACATAAGCTCAGCGATTCTCTGCGCGATCAACCTCTCACATGTTTAAGCTGCGGGAGATTTCACTTGTCATGTTTGCATAGTAAGCTAACAATTAATAAGACGATGTCAGAGGAATTGGTGCACAAATTATCATCACTCACAGATCAGTGCTGTCGCTCTCTATACACAGTTCGCGCGATTGCAAAGTGCAAGCAAAAAAACAAGCGCAAATTCAAACACGATTTCAATATGTCACATATTGACAGTGGCTCACCCAATGACATAATTACCCAGCTACATTTCTGAAAGAATGCAAAAGCATTGACATATATTTTTCCTTCCTACAATAGCCCGACAGGCAGGGCAGAGATAGCCCCGGGACATCGGGCTAGCGATATTGCGAGCCCTGTATCTGATTGAGGAATTACTCATCTTTGGAAAAGAGAGTTTATTACAGAGAAATGGCTCTTTCCAAAATAAAAGCTATACTATCCGCTTCTTCTGGGCTATATTCTCAGCAGCATATTAAACATATCAGGTCTCCGTAAGGAGAATCCTGTGCTAACAGCTGTCTAAATGACTCGGCTAAAGTTAGTAGCATGCTTGTTGTTTTTGTCTTTGCACTAGGATGATGTCGGTGTAAATGTGCAGTCATATTCGTTGTGTTCCCACTAGTGCTTTCAGGTTAATCTCGTTGAAATAACCTTAACGCCACAACACGGCAAATCTCCGTTAACGAGCTACCCTATACAGAGGGGCTAGACGGCCAACACGTTAACGAGCTAACTGCGCTAACACACTAGCTCCCACCCATGTAATTGAGCATTGCATGGCACATCCAACATACTGTTTTACTTTAGTCCATGACTCGCTTACCTTCAGGGTCATACGTCACATGAAAACCAAAATAATTCCAAACGCCAGATCTGAATGAGGGTGGGGAGGTCCACTTCTGTCTCGCTAGCTTGCCCTGCGCTCTTCCTTCTGACCATGCTGTCTGTGTTGAGTGCTCAGTGAATCTGCGTTCGACTACTCCGCCTAGGCTGCACTCTCGAGCCTAGGCGGAGTAGTCAAATGCAGATTCACTGAGCGCTCAACACAGACAGCATCGTCAGAAGGAAAGTTGATAAAATAAATTACAAATTTTGTATTGTTCTTTTTTTTTTCTCCCCTTTGGTTTTCTTTCTTTCTCTCCCCCTCTTTCTTTCATTCTTTCCCCCTGTCCTATCCCACAGTCATGTCTGTCCCGTTTGCAACTGAAAATAAAATAAATTCATAATTATAATAAAGGTCAATCAAATGGACCAATATGATGATCCACTTAAAATAAATCCTCTTGGCATCTTTCTTGGCCTCAAGACAACAATTCTGATGGCTATAGATCCAAACGGGACACAAAAAAAAAAAAAAAAAAAATTGAAAAAAATTGTATTGTTCGATACATATGCGTACCGAACCGAAAGCACTGTATCGAACGGTTCAATATCGATACGAATATCGTTGCACCCCTAATATATATATATATATATATATATATATATATATATATATATATATATATATATATATACAGCAATATCAGGAAGAAGGAACACGAGAAGCTGGAGAAATACCAAGGGCTCAGAGAAGAGCTCGAGAGGATGTGGAGGGTGAAGGTAACGGTGGTCCCCGTGGTAATCGGAGCACTAGGTGCGGTGACTCCCAAGATAGGCGAGTGGCTCCAGCAGATCCCGGGAATAACATCGGAGATCTCTGTCCAGAAGAGCGCAGTCCTGGGAACAGCTAAGATACTGCGCAGGACCCTCAAGCTCCCAGGCCTCTGGTAGAGGACCCGAGCTTGAAGGATAAACCGCCCGCAGGGGCGTGCTGGGTGTTAAGTTATATATATATATATATTATGCCTTTACCAGTGAAACTTGAACTCTCATCGGTCTTTGATTTGTGTCTCTAGGTGCTATCGGTGGAGTGTGTGCGCTGGCTAATGTGCTGGGCCAGGAGCTATGTGAGTTGGAGCGTCTGTGTGTGTCCGGGCGTTGGGAGGAAGCCAGAGTCCTGCAGCAGCGCCTTATCGAGCCCAATGCCGCTGTGAGTACCATCTGCTGCTCATTGCACGCTTTTATCCACCGCAGACATGAACTCCCACAAATGGTGCCAGACTGGAGGTTTAGTCACATTTCTTAAAGGTAAAACTGTTCTGCCTGAAATACTCTTACTGATTGCACTCTGGGCCAAGAAGACAAACCTGATTTTTTTTTCTCTGCTGTATTTATAGATAATCTGATGTTAAACTCAAAACAAATGTTACTTCCTCTATGAACTATTCATGCAAAGTCCAGTGCACTCAGAAAAAAGCCCGCTCATTCTCAGACACAAATGATTCTTTTGTTTTTTTTAGGTTTTTTTTATAAACAACAGACACTGACGGCATAAGCTGCTTAAAGTTAACCTTAGCCTTACCTTTGGTTCGTCTTACGCCTGTTAGCACACAGGGCAGCTTATGATCGCCAAAAAATACGGTCATTCAAAGCCAGCTGATGCCAACAATGTTCAGATCGTCAGTGAACATCCACCTCAAATGAGCTTTTGGTTGGCCTTTCTTATGTCTACCCATTTATGGAGTCCAGGTCATGGTGGTCTTTGCAAATTGTTCAGGAGATGCAGTGGCTTGGAAAAGTATTCGGCCCCCTTGAACTTTCCCACATTTTGTCACATTACAGACACTTCACCCGTTGCCTACTGGTGGTGGTCAGAGGGCCTGGTGGCGCCAGTGTTCGGCAGCCTCGCCTCTGTCAGTGCGCCCCAGGGCAGGTGTGGCTACAATGTAGCTTGCCATCACCAGTGTGTGAATGTGTGTGTGTGAATGGGTGGAAGACTGGATGTGTAAAGCGCTATACAAATACAGGCCATTTACCATTTTACCATTACAAACATGAATCAATGTTATTGGAATTCCACGTGAAAGACCAACACAACGTGGTGTACACGTGAGAAGTGGAACGAAAATCATACATGATTCCAAACATTTTTTACAAATAAATAACTGCAAAGTGGGGTGTGCGTAATTATTCAGCCCCCTGAGTCAATACTTTGTAGAACCACCTTTTGCTGCAATTACAGCTGCCAGTCTTTTAGGGTTTGTCTCTACCAGCTTTGCACATCTAGAGACTAAAATCTTTGCCCATTCTTCTTTGCAAAACAGCTCCAGCTCAGTCAGATTAGATGGAGAGTGTTTGTGAACAGCAGTTTTCAGGTCTTGCCACAGATTCTCCATTGGATTTAGATCTGGACTTTGGGCCATTCTAACACATGGATATGTTTTGTTTTAAACCACTCCATTGTTGCCCTGGCTTTATGTTCAGGGTCGTTGTCCTGCTGGAAGGTGAACCTCTGCTCCAGTCTCAAGTCTTTTGCAGACTCCAAGAGGTTTTCTTCCAAGATTGCCCTGTATTTGGCTCCATCCATCTTCCCATCAACTCTGACCAGCTTCCCTGTCCCTGCTGGAGAGAAGCACCCCCAGAGCATGATGCTGCCACCACCATATTTGACAGTGGGGATGGTGTGTTCAGAGTGATGTGCAGTGTTAGTTTTCCGCCACACATAGCGTTTTGCATTTTGGCCAAAAAGTTCCATTTTGGTCTCATCTGACCAGAGCACCTTTTTCCACATGTTTGCTGTGTCCCCCACATGGCTTGTGGCAAACTGCAAACGGCACTTCTTATGGTTTTCTGTTAACAATGGCTTTCTTCTTGCCACTCTTCCATAAAGGCCAACGTTGTGCAGTGCACGACTAATAGTTGTCCTATGGACAGATTCCCCCACCTGAGCTGTAGATCTCTGCAGCTCGTCCAGAGTCACCATGGGCCTCTTGGCTGCATTTCTGATCTGCACTCTCCTTGTTCGGCCTGTGAGTTTAGGTGGACGGCCTTGTCTTGGTAGGTTTACAGTTGTGCCATACTCCTTCCATTTCTGAATGATCGCTTGAACAGTGCTCCGTGGGATGTTCAAGGCTTGGGAAATCTTTGTGTAGCCTAAGCCTACTTTAAATTTCTCAGTAACTTTATCCCTGACCTGTCTGGTTTGTTCTTTGGACTTCATGGTGTTGTTGCTCCCAATATTCTCTTAGACAACCTCTGAGGCCGTCACAGAGTAGCTGTATTTGTACTGACATTAGATTACACACAAGTGCACTCTATTTAGTCATTAGCACTCATCAGGCAATGTCTATGGGCAACTGACTGCACTCAGACCAAAGGGGGCTGAATAATTATGCACACCCCACTTTGTAGTTATTTATTTGTAAAAAAATATTTGGAATCATGTAGGATTTTTGTTCCACTTCTCACGTGTACACCACTTTGTGTTGGTCTTTCACGTGGAATTCCAATAAAATTGATTCATGTTTGTGGCTGTAATGTGACAAAATATGGGAAGATTCAAGGGGGGCGAATACTTTTGCAAGCCACTGTAGGTGAAGGATGTGTCCTTCTAATTGAAATCACTAAGTAATGGTGTCAGTGTGGTAACTCAGTCCGAGTAAGAGATCTTAAAAATCCTTTGCAGGCTGTGTTGTTGCAGTTTGTTGAGGTTTTGGGAAATGTTTTCCATTGCTCTCCATGTTTCTCATGCATACAGGACAGTGGGCACAGCTACTGAATTGATAAGACATATTTTTGTAGCTGAGTTTAGAGAGGCAGATGCACAGATCAGTTCCAGTCATTATAGTATACTTAAGGCTTTGTCCACTTAGCCGATGACAGTCCAGTCAACCATACTATCAGCAGTGAATAGATTCCAGAGTACTAGAACTTGTTCACCTCTTCTACCTGCCTTTGGTTGATATGAATGAGAATCTGTATATGCACTACCCAGTCTGTAGTCCTCTGATCTGGTTGAGGTCTACAACATGTTTAGCTTCTCTACAAAGCAATCCAACAGTTGACTCACCTCCTTATAACAAAATCAGTAGTGAAGAGGAATAGAAAAGGTGAGAAACACAACCCTGTGGTATTCCAGTTTCAATCTTGTGGAAATCTGTTGTGGCATTTTCCGTGCAGATGCAGCAGCAAGAGCAATGGTAAAGACAGCCTTGTGCTCTTGTAATTCAAGGTTTTATTTGATGATCATTCGCAGGGTAAAGATCTGTTTAGTGCATTAACTGCTTCTGCGAAAGCCAGCTTGTACCTCTTGTAATCGCTGTTATAACTGGACATGATGGAGTAAAAAAATGCTGAGGATTTTTCCAGGGACACAAATGGTACAGCTAACTTAACTAGCTGGCTAACCTTAGCTTGCTACTCTTCTTGCCAGAAAAATGATATCTGAACAGAAACACTGGCTGGCTTACATAAGTCATGAAAGTATCTCAGTCAGTAAAGTAGCAAATGATTTTGTGCAAGAATAAGTGATGTAATTGCCACAAAACACAGGAATGATTAACCATCGTGTTTTGTAATAATCTGCTAGCTGTGACTCCAGGCAGGTACGTTTAGCTTTAACTTGGCTTTGCGCCATGTATATTTATATACATATACAGTGGGGCAAAAAAGTATTTAGTCAGCCACCGATTGTGCAAGTTCCCCCACCTAAAATGATGACAGAGGTCAGTAATTTGCACCAGAGGTACACTTCAACTGTGAGAGACAGAATGTGAAAAAAAAATCCATGAATCCACATGGTAGGATTTGTAAAGAATTTATTCGTAAATCAGGGTGGAAAATAAGTATTTGGTCAATAACAAAAATACAACTCAATACTTTGTAACATAACCTTTGTTGGCAATAACAGAGGTCAAACGTTTACTATAGGTCTTTACCAGGTTTGCACACACAGTAGCTGGTATTTTGGCCCATTCCTCCATGCAGATCTTCTCGAGAGCAGTGATGTTTTGGGGCTGTCGCCGAGCAACATGGACTTTCAACTCCCGCCACAGATTTTCTATGGGGTTGAGCTCTGGAGACTGGCTAGGCCTCTCCAGGACTTTCAAATGCTTCTTACGGAGCCACTCCTTTGTTGCCCGGGCGGTGTGTTTTGGATCATTGTCATGTTGGAAGACCCAGCCTCGTCTCATCTTCAAAGTTCTCACTGATGGAAGGAGGTTTTGGCTCAAAATCTCACGATACATGGCCCCATTCATTCTGTCCTTAACACGGATCAGTCGTCCTGTCCCCTTGGCAGAAAAACAGCCCCATAGCATGAGGCTCTCTTCCCAGTCTGGTGCAGGTCTACAATACTTTTCCTGGTGTCCTTCGAAAGCTCGTTGGTCTTGGCCATGGCGGAGTTTGGAGTCTGACTGTTTGAGGCTGTGGACAGGTGTCTTTTACAGAGGTGTGGACTCGAGTCACATGACTTGGACTCGAGTCAGACTCGAGTCATTAATTTTATGACTTTAGACTTGACTTGAAAAAATGTTCTAAGACTTGTGACTTGACTTGGACTTTTACACCAATGACTTGGGACTTGAATTGGACTTGAACCGGTTTACTTGAAAAGACTTGATATTTTACCCCAAATATAAAATTTAACATGCATATTATATAGAGATTGAAAATGTGACGTCATTCACGGGTAGAACCGCAAAGGATTCTGGGAACTCGTGGCAAGCGGTACTAGCGCACGCAGGCTTTCAATTAAAATCAGTTATACAGCGATAAAAAGAAACACAAAAATGTCAAGAAGCCGTTGTATTATTAACTGCAATAGCCGGTCGCATGACAGCCACGGGAAGCCGACGAGTAAAGAGATCGGTTGTTATCGGATTACGTTGTTGAAGAGAAATTGTTCGAGCCATGTTTCCGAAGTAACAAAGATGCGATGGATGGCCTGGATTGCAGCCATTCAAAGATCAAATATAACGTCCCAGAACCCTCCAGCTCACAGGTTAGTCTGCTCCAAGCATTTACACGAAGGTCAGTGTTTTTTAGTAGTTAATACGTCATTTTCATAACATAATTAGTGACATAGGTTACAAGCAAGTCTGGCGCTGAACAGAAATTGTCGCGCTATGCTCCTTTATTTATTGTGCATAAATAGTGAATTGTCCTGACACAATATTGCGTTTCGCTTCTGTTATTATGGTACATTGACAAAAACATATACTTTTATTCACAGGATAAAACAGGTTTTTTGTATCACTAATTGCCCAGTACGATTACAGCATACAATATTGTTGTCACTGCTACATTTCTGTGATGCTACCAGAAATTATTTCCACTACTAATTAATTACCGTTGAGCTCAAAGGTCCTATTAATAAACGGTTAAGGAATGTGTATTTATGACGACGATTTGTGAGACTGGTAAACTTATGATACGTACGATGGTCTTTCGTTCTACACGGTGCATTTCAAGGTCCTGTACCCATCCGTCGGTAAACTGTACCTGGGCTTATTGCAGTGACCTGAAGTTACTAAACTTCATGAGTGTGTGCACTCACTCCAAGAACCGTATGATTATAAATATGCATATAAATATGCTAAGATGAGATAGCTGACTTCATCTAACTAGCAAATGTTGTCCAGGCTACGTTGGTGATACAGTTTTTTTTAATGTGTATGATATTTTTGTCATGCGATTTTAAAGCTGGTCCTACAACCGCATCCAAGAATAACATGCAGCTTATCTCAGAACTGTCGGTGAAAATTATTCTTGGAGCTAGGTTTAATTGAGCTGCATTTTAAAGAGGTGCAATTTCACAATTTGTGTATATTTTCCAAGTTCACTATTTTGTCATGTGTTGAGAAAAACACAGATTTTAAAATTACATGGTCTAATATTTACATTTAGCATATAACTGCAACATTATTTTTTCGTTGTTTTTTTTTAAAGACTCGAAAGGACTTGAAATTCAAAGTTTCAGACTTGTGACTTGACTCGGACTTTTACACCAGTGACTTGAGACTCGACTCTGACTTGCCTGACATTACTTGAGACTTGACTTGAGACTTGAGGATAAAGACTTGAGACTTACTTGAGACTTGCAAAACAATGACTTGGTCCCACCTCTGGTCTTTTATACAGATGATGAGTTCAAACAGGTGCCATTCATACAGGTAACGAGTGGGGGACAGAAAAGCTTCTTACAGAAGACGTTACAGGTCTGTGAGAGCCAGAGATTTTCCTTGTTTGAGGTGACCAAATACTTATTTTCCACCCTAATTTACGAATAAATTCTTTACAAATCCTACCATGTGAATTCATGGATTTTTTTTTCACATTCTGTCTCTCACAGTTGAAGTGTACCTCTGGTGCAAGTTACTGACCTCTGTCATCATTTTAAGTGGGGGAACTTGCACAATCGGTGGCTGACTAAATACTTTTTTGCCCCACTGTATATCTTTGTAGCATCAGGTTAAATGTCAGTTTTGCACTGTATGTCACTCTGATTTGTTCTGAATTGAAGGCAGGTGCTGTTGAGCATGTCTCAGGCTCTGTAAGTGTGCATTAAGGTAAATGTGGTGGTAAATGTCACTGCTCTACAGTCTAATTCATAAAATCATCTTCACTACAGTATGAAGTGGCATGTGGTACAGGTGGATTTCAGCCGTCAAATATAAATCACGAATAGGGAAAATGTCTAAGTTTAAAGCTTTGCAAAGCACAACATCATCCATATGGGATATGCAGTCAGGTCCATACATATTGGGACATCAACACAATTCTAACATTTTTGGCTCCATACACCACCACAATGGATTCCAAATGAAACGAACGAGATGTGCTTTAACTGCAGACTGTCATCTTTTATTTGAGGGTATTTACATCCAAATCAGGTGAACGGTGTAGGAGTTACAACAGTTTGCATATGTGCCTCCCATTTCTTAAGGGACCAAAAGTAATGGGACAGAATAAGAACCATAAATCAAACTTTCATTTTTTAATACTTGGTTGCAAATCCTTTGCAGTCAATCACAGCCTGAAGTCTGGAACACATAGACATCACCAGATGCTGGGTTTCATCCCTGGTGATACTCTGCCAGACCTCTACTGCAACTGTCTCCAGTTCCTTCTTATTCTTGGGGCATTTTCCCTTCAGTTTTGTCTTCAGCAAGTGAAATGCTTGCTCAATCGGATTCAGATCAGGTGATTGACTTGGCCATTGCAAAACAGTCCACTTCTTTCCCTTCAAAAACTCTTTGGTTGCTTTTGCAGTATGCTTTGGGTAGTTGTCCATCTGCACTGTGAAGCGGCGTCCAATGAGTTTTGAAGCATTTGGCTGAATATGAGCAGATAATATTGCCCGAAACACTTCAGAATTCGTCGTACTGCTTTTGTCAGCAGTCACATCATCAGTAAATACAAGAGAACCAGTTCCACTGGCAGCCATACGTGCCCACGCCATGACACTTCCAGCATGGCGCTGGAAGTGTCATGGCGGTTCACTGATGAGGTGGTATGCTTAGGATCATGAGCACTTCCTTTCCTTCTCCATACTCTTCTCTTCCCATCACTCTGGTACATTGATCTTGGTCTCGTCTGTCCATAGGATGTTGTTCCAGAACTGTGACGGCTTTTTTAGATGTCGTTTGGCAAACTCTAATCTGGCCTTCCTTGTGGTGAACCCTCTGTATTCACACTGGTGGAGTCTTCTCTTGATTGTTGACTTTGACACACATACACCAACCTCCTGGAGAGTGTTCTTGATCTGGCCAACTATTGTGAAGGGTGTTTTCTTCACCAGGGAAAGGATTCTTCGTTCATCCACCACAGTTGTTTTCCATGGTCTTCTGGGTCTTTTGGTGTTGCTGAGCTCACCGGTACGTTCCTTCTTTTTGAAAATGTTCCAAACAGTTGTTTTGGCCACGCCTAATGTTTTTGCTATCTCTCTGATGGGTTTGTTTTGTTTTCTCAGCCTAATGATGGCTTGCTTCACTGATACTGACAGCTCTTTGGATTTCATCTTAGCAGTAGACGGCAACAGGTTCCAAATGCAAACAGCACACTTGAAATTAACTCTGGACCTTTTTTCTGCTCATTGTAATTGGGGTAATGAGGGAATAACACACACCTAGCCATGGAACAGCTGAGAAGCCAATTGTCCCATTACTTTTGGTCCCTTAAGAAGTGGGAGGCGCATTTGCAAACTGTTGTAATTGTCACTGTCCACCGTTCACCTGATTTGGATGTAAATACCCTCAAATAAAAGCTGACAGTCTACAGTTAAAGCAAATCTCGTTCGTTTCATTTGGAATCCATTGTGGTGGTGTATAGAGCCAAAAATGTTAGAATTGTGTCAATGTCCCAATATTTAGGGACCTGACTGTATATGAAGACTGATTAAAGCTCTGTGTTGCTAGGTGACTAGGAAGCTGGGAGTTCCCGCTCTGAAGCAGGCGATGGAGTGGTTTGGTTTCCACGGTGGCTCCTGTCGATCACCTCTTCAGCCGCTCACAGAGGCCGAGAGTCAGCAACTGAGGCGGGACTTCTCCTCCAATGGGTGGCTGTAAAGGGACCTAGGCGGAGCGAGAGTGCATGTGTGAGCGAGGTCACTATGTGTGGACCTATTAGCTGTTGGTGTAATTATATCATAAAGGGAAAACACAGCTGCCCATGAAAATAAATAAATAAATAAATAAATATTCAGTTCTGTCCACTGTTGATATTTATTGAGCCAAATCCAAAAACCTGCAAAAAACTCCCTTACATTAAAATAAATGTATAAATCAATTAATCCAACTTCAAAGTTCTATTTGGTTTTTGTTCTTCTTTTTCTTTGACCTGGACTGACAGAAATTTTCTTGGCCAATTCCAATTTTTCTCCAAGTGCTCTGCGACCAGTACTGCGACTGATTAACTGAAAACGAGTTGCTGTACACCCGCGTGTCCCTGATATATTTTAACTTTCCACGTAATAGCAGGTGCAGAATATATTGTATAACAAAACAATTTTTCAATTATTTTGACTATTTTGAGCCATTACTAATACCGAGGCTGCTAGCTTCTGGCTGATACTGAGCTTTGTTAGCTTCTGTAAAAAAGTTCAACTGGCTGAGGTTGATTTAAGTGTCTGCTTAGGTTTGTTGTAACAAACATTGTCGTGGTGGTCCCCCCGTGGTTTACTTTACCAGACTTTGTGTACATATATATGTACACAATGTTATATAGTCTATAAAATCTACACCATAAAACATGTAGCAGCTGACATTACAGGTAATGGATCAAGCCAGCAGAAGCCAAGCAGACTCAGGAAGAAAAGTGCCTCTGGCAGTGCAAGCCACCACTTTAAGGTGTTTATACATTAAAACACTACAAGTATGACAATGTACACAAACCAGAATAAGAAGCCAGTGACAGGCAATTAGCTGCTGATCTTTCCTGTTGTTTTTATCATGTGATCAGTTATTTATTTTCATATTTTGCTCCACTAAAGCAAGAGGACAAGTGGACGTAATAAGAGATTCCAAACTAAACCTCAGCCTTACACAGGGAAAAATAATACCCTCATATTTTAGCCTGTAACTGTTATTTTTCTTCTTTCAAGGAGGTTTTGTGATTACTCTGTCTGATTTGTTTTTTTGTCCATTTGTTAGAGTTGTTGCACAAAAATTATTTCCATGAAAATCCTGCCAGGGGTCGCTCGATGCAACTTATGGATCCCTTCAAATCTTTACGTATTAAATTGAAATAGGAAATATGTCAGCCATTGTCTTAATGTTCCCAAGATACCAATAACTAACCTGGATTGGTTCATAGCGAGGAGTGGCTTTTCAGCCTAGTGTAAAAAGTAGATGTATAATTGTGTATAATTGGCGTGTAATGCATTTGGCAGATCATGACCTGTTTGACTTAAGCTTTGAAATGTGGGACTTGGACCTGGAACTCTTTAGTCAAGACTCATGTGTAACTTAGGAAACAATTACTTTGTCTAATCGTTAGTGGATGCGTAAAAATACAGAATTTGTAGTCTCACAGCAGTAGACAGTAAATGGAAATCACCTGACAGTGGAGTAAATATGAGTTATTTAATCACAGTATTGTCTGTTTTGTCATTAGAAATACGGTGGTCTCACAGGGCATGCATTTTATACTTTGGACATTTGCACCTACTGCAATGGCAGAAAGTCATTTGTATGCATCAGCCTCATTAGTTTAAGATGCCCTGTAACCTAAAGGTAATTGTCATGTAATTACAGCACAGCTTTGGCATGCTTTGACCTCAGGAGATGTCTTATTATTCAGAATACCTCTGTAGAGCTATTGTATGGAAACTAAAAGTACAGCCAGGCCACTTGTAACCTCAGGCTGAATAACACTGAAGCCTCCCAAGGTCTTTGAAAAATAAAAAATTTGGAACAGAAAAACTATCACATCATTTGCTCTTATTTAAATCAGTCATGTATGTTCAGTGTGTTTGTGTGTGTGTGTGTATAAAATATCTCACTGGGGAATGATGCCCATACTGTTTTTTCACTCATTTCCTGTGCTGATATTTATCTAATATTAGAAAAACAAACAGGCGTTCTAGAGCAAATGTGCCCCGTGCCCTTCCTTGGCCAGACAGCACTGAATGATGTGTTCATGCATGTCTGAGATTAGGTCTGGCCACCAAAAAGCCAAAGAAAAGTTCCTCATCTCAAATATAGATTTGATAAATGTTTTCAGAAAGACCTGAGATCAGCTAGAGTTCAGTGGGAGGCAGAGCTGCAGGTCATGGTCACAGTTTGCTGCAGAATACCAGAGCGCTCTTTGATGTGAAAAAGTTAAAAACCATAATTACTGTAATTAAAGCCGTGTAGCAGGTAGCCATGGCAATGAGAGCCTTTGGCTTTGTCACATAGCACTTTTTTGCTTTTATCATACCATGAGTCCAATTAGCACCTTTCTTAGCAGGAGATATTTTCAGAAATACTTACAGGACCATAAAAAAAGGAGGAGATGTTGTGTTTTCTTCTGTTCCTGTGCGACAAGGACACAGTACAGATGGAAAGCTCTGAGTATAAACAGTTTTGATTAAATCACCTGCCACTCAGTTTTAAGGACATCTGTCTTACAAGCACAGTTGTAGTTTATAAGTAATGTTTAACCCTTGGTCTGAAATTTTTCACTGTTTGAGAAACTTTGAAAATTTTTTTTGAAAATACACTGCTTCACTGTGACAGACCTTTGTTACTGTGATTATTTGGCTTTGTCAAATATTGGAAGCATTCAGAGCTATTGAAGACACCGTGTCCTTTATTTGGGAGAATGTCTCCGCATAATGACATGTGACATTTTTTTGTGTAATACGAGAATGTTCAGTGACTACGTGTGCCTTGTCTGTAAGACTGCAGAAAGTAATTTCCTTTAGAGTACATGGCCTTATAACAAATTCTTTCTTCGTGGCAGGAGTGAAAGATAACAATCCAGATTTTGTGAATAAAAGTGTACTTTAGTGTCACCTTGGTTTTCAGGGGCCTGCTTTCTTTGCTGCAATACACACTTTTTTGTGTCAATTTTACATTCAATTATAAGACCTTTAGTCACTGTTAAACAAAGTATTCAAGGACTGGTGTAAAAAGTGAGTTACTGAGCACCGCGTCTCTAAAAAGTCACTGTGACTTGAAGCTGTGAGGGATAGTTGGCCTCTGCCTAAACTTTTCCTCACCTGCTTGTTTTATCCGGAGGATGAAGGAGAAATATAATATAAGCCAGTGCAACTACATACTTTTGGAGACAAAGCTTCTGCAATCTGATACCCAGACATGCATCCCCCACCCTTGATATTGCTCTGCTAGGTACCAAGATAAGTGCAGTTTTATATGAGGTCACATTTCCTTGAAAAACAAGTTTATAAGTTTATCTTCGGTACCGAAGACAGAAGAGGAGTTTGATATATAATACAAAGAACCCCAAGTTTCTCCCAATGACAAGCCAGCACCTTGCCATACATATGAGGGTGTATGAGTTTTTGTGAGTCAGTGGGTGAATAACAAATACATTATAAAACTCTTTAAGAACTGCCAAAGTTTAAAGAAATGATTTCCTCTGTAAGTGCACATCATTTCCCCTTCACCAGAGACAGCGCTGCAATCAAAGCCCAGCATTATCACAGTAGCAGGAAATAAGTTATCCTTTTAAAAGTGTCATGATGATAACGATAACTGATATTTTGAAATGAATAAAGATGAAGCAAAGCTACAGCGTCAGCAGTGATAATATTATGCAACCGTTCTTTTTTGTGTGCTTCTTTTTGCAGCCATGGTTACCTCCAGGTTCTTGTATTTTGACTCTAATTACCCAAAACCAAGACACACACACAATTATGAATTTGACTGATACTGTCATTGCTTTTATTTTTCTCTCATTTTCTTTTTGCGAAGTAAAAATCAGATGTTATATCACGTGAATACTAATTAATTAGCACTCATATCCAGAAACTGCTTAAATGATTAATAACCATAATAGATGGTATTAGAGAAAATAACATGGGAATACACTGTTAGTGCAAGTTTTACAAATGTGCTGTCAACATCTTGCGCTGTGCCAATTACTAAGTGTTTCCTTATTAGTTTATCGCAGCTTTTAAGCTGAACTCTGCTGCCCAGTGCTGCAGTCAAAGTTGACGAGAGCACAGCGAAGCCTGAACCGCGCTCCACAGAAACAACAGTGTGAGCTAAAAGAGGCAAAAACGTCAGCAGAGCTACAGAGTTGATAATAATCTTTTGTTTTTGCTACTATGAGTGACCTCTTTTCATCCAGCTAATGGAACCAGCCTGAAACACAAAAATTGCAGTAATAATAATAATAATAATAATAATAATAATAATACAGTAGTTAGTGGGGCTTTTACATGGTAAGTTAATAGTGGCCTTCTATAAAATAAGGTCTATTCAAAACACAAGTCAACAGTTTTTTTGTGTGTATTTTTAAGTTCATGAAAGCGATTTAAGGCTCTGATCCTGCAGAGTTTGAAAAACATTCAACTAATGAGTTCATATTAATAAACCTGCTCAAGGATTTCTGATAATATGAGGTTTCTTCTTTTTATTTCATCTGTGTTTAACCTCTTTCCAAGGGCGGTCTTGTTACTAAAGATTTTTGCCAAAGAACTAAATAACGGAAAATCTTCAATAGGATCCTTAAATACTTATTCCTGTATGTCTCTTGTTGCTGTGGTACCTTTCAGTCCTTTCAGACACCAGAGGAAAAGTGTCCTAATGTTTGATCAGCTGTGTTCTTAACTGTTGACCCCTGAGGTCTGAAGCCTCGGTATAATTTAAGCATTCACGCTAAGTGTCATCATAACATTTTGAAGTGTTGTCTTCACTTATTTCAAAAACCTTTTGGTAATTGGTTTCCTTTATCATTCTGTGAGGTGCAGTGGCTCTAAGTGACCACATGGAGGCGACACGCCCCACCGCTGCTTCTGCACTGTCAAGGGCATCCCTTTGATATGGTTCGGTTGATGTCTGTGCTCCCAGTGGGCAAACAGTAGGAGGGGGGACTGGCCTCTATCTCACTCCTGCTCCTGGGGTGAGCAAGTGGCGAGTCAGCAAAAGAGGCACAGCATCACCCGGAGGAGCGTGACGATGACACGGCGAGGTCATTGCAATGAAATCTCCCAACAAATACGCTCTCTCTCCCCCCGCTGCCTTCTCTGCACATCATCATCCCTCCACACCTGACGATCTGTCATCTGTCTCCCCCTCCTTTCCTCTCTCGACCCTGCCCTCACTTTTCTTTCTCTTCCCTCTCTCCTCTCTGCATCCCAGTCCCCCCCCAGGCAGTGTGGTAACCTCTCTGCGTAGTGTTGCATGTACAGCCCAATCCCTCTCTCCTTCTGTGCTCCTTTCCTTCTCCATTATCCCCCATCCTGGTCATGCCACAGATTAAAACCAAACTTAAAAGATTCCCCGATCCCTCCCATCCCCTTTTTTTTCCTTTCCCATCTTTCTCTCCTCCCCCATCCTCTCTTCTTCCTTCCCCTGTGATTAGCTACTGCCTGACTCACGCAGCTCTCCCTCCTTCTCCCTCTTCCCGAGAGCGTGGCACAGTTAAGATGGCTAAATATGAAATATCTTTTGCTCTTAATTTTGGCCTTCCACACCGTTTTGTGAGCTTCGTTGTGTAAGAGGAAAGACTCAGTTACAGCCTACCACCATGGTTAATTACAGTGGCTTGCAAAAGTATTCAACCCCCTTGAACTTTTCCACATTTTGTCACATTACAGCCACAAACATGAATCAATTTTATTGGAATTCCACGTGAAAGACCAAAACAAAGTGGTGTACACGTGAGAAGTGGAACGAAAATCATACATGATTCCAAACATTTTTTACAAATAAATAACTGCAAAGTGGGGTGTGCGTAATTATTCAGCCCCCTTTGGTCTGAGTGCAGTCAGTTGCCCATAGACATTGCCTGATGAGTGCCAATGACTAAATAGAGAGCACCTGTGTGTAATCTAATGTCAGTACAAATACAGCTGCTCTGTGACGGCCTCAGAGGTTGTCTAAGAGAATATTGGGAGCAACAACACCATGAAGTCGAAGGACACACCAGAGAGGTCAGGGATAATATGGCTGGGTATCGTCACTGATTTCTAGAATCGATTCGATTCCGATTCACAAGGTCCCGAATCGATTTGATCCACGATTTGATTCAATTCGATTCAATTCGATTTGAATCTGGGAAATTTTGCCTCAGACAGTCAGAAATATTATAATTCAGATAATTTACATATTTTTGTATCTATAAAAAGTAAGCTGACACTCGCAAGTCTTTATCAAAGGTGTGAGCATCACAGCAGATGCCTTTGTGTCAAAGTAGCTGAAGATAAAACACAGAAAAACATGAAGGTGATTTTCCTGGCCTGGGATTTTATAAAAATATTCTGCAGTACATCAAAAACGAAAGAAAACCATTAATCAACTTTAGCACATTACCTCTGAAGTTACAACGGTTTTATTAGAGACACGGCTGCATTTTGCACAATTTTAAAAAGTTTAAATTTGTTCAGTAGCCTATTGAACAGCAGAAATTAGGTTTTCTTTTCGGAAGTAAGTAAAAGGAAAAAAAAACAGCGGCCAACGGCGCTGTAAACAACGGTAGACTTGTGCATAACAAGCAAGCGAATAATGTAGAAAACAGATTTTTAGATGGGAAAACTGGTGTTGAAGTACAGAGAGAGAGAGAGAGAGAGAGAGAGAGCTGTGCATGAAGTGTGATTTCATCGTGTTGGAAGCAAAACAGAGTGAATTCATGACGATGTTTCTGTGAAGCTTAGTTTGGATCTTCTTTTGCTGCTGGTTCGGTCAATATTGTTTGGAGAGAGATAAAACTAACAGCTTTAGAATCAGCGCAAAAAGGGCGTAAACACAAA